AGTGACTTTCCCAAGCTCCCAGACCAATTCAAATTTCTGGGTGACTTCACAGACATTAAAGAAGTTAGCACACTCTCACCTGAACCCCCCTCCCACCACCATGTGAAGTTGCTGCTACAAAGAGATGGGAAGTCAGCAATTGCAACTGTATATTCTTACAATCTCAGAGTTTTTACAATGGCCAACTACTCCTCTACCCCTGGAATCAGTGGCCACATGGTATACAGTATGGCTTACTTACTTACTAAGTTTGATGCTTGGGGTATGGAACCTCACTTATCTCCTAAAATCTTTGAAAATAGGCAGAGAGTTTGACTATTAGTCCAGCAGAATGGGAGTGTCTCTTCATAAGCCTACCACACTATACACATGGAACTAACAACTCTTTTAATATAATTCTTACTCTGAAGAGCAATTGCTCTTTTCTTCTGTCTGTTTACCTATCCATCTTAATGGTACTTCTCTCTGGTCCGTAAAAAGAAGCCTCTCTTTTCATATAAGGCCTTGCTTGATGTGTTTTAAATATATTGTATATTGTTTTAAATATATTATTTTACAGATTCTCTCCTACCTCAAGGCTCCATTGTAGTCTGAAAACCCGTTCTCCTAATAAACATTACTCCTCCAGAGCAGTTATGTGGTACATCCTTTCCTGAGAAGACTGCTTGCATTACACTCATATTTACCAATATGTCATTGACATTGGTATTGCCCCATAGTTCTTGACAGAAATGAAATGAAATGTGTGTGTGTGCATGCACACATGTGTGTCCATATATGTAAACTTATAAGGCAAATGTGCTTTCCAAATTACCTCTAGCACCATTGTGCTTTAACATTCATCCACCCAGAAGTTCTGAAGTCTTTTCCAGTGTTGCAGTGCTGCAACTGCACAGATTCCCTGCATGCTTCCTTTTATGAATTTCTAAAATAGTGTGGATGTCACACAAATGTTCATTTTTAAGGAATAATTAATATCTATTCTCTGTCACTGTTTCCTCTCAATTTACAGTGTGAAAAATGGCAGTCAAGTTGCTATTTGCTTCCTACAATAAAACCGTGAGAAAAGGTTGTGGGCACGCAGTTCACCAAAGAGGAAATCTGACCAGAAATATATTGACAGAGATTTTGTTTTACTATCAAATAAAGGTGTACAAATTTCAAAGAATGCTATTTTCTACTATTAAATTTGCATAGGAAATGTTCATAAAGACGTTACAAAACTGGCAGTCACCTACATTGCCTCCTAGGGTTGAAGCTGACATGTCCCTATGGGAAGACATTTGTTCACCTCAATCTAGTAGAATTAAAGGGCCTGGCTCATTTAACCCCTTGAGTGGCAGCCAGAAATGTGTAGGATGCAGTCACTAGGTTTATCTCACTCTGCCATGCTGGCTGCTCTACTTTCCTGCTGATTGTCTCCTGGTCTCCGAACTTCTGTTCAGCCATTTATACTGATTATCTCCTAGAACTCTGCTGAAATGCCACATAAGTGGTGGGCTGCAAAATATTCCTTTGCCATAAGGACTAAGTTGAGTTAAAGTTCACTGAGAACAAGCAAAGGCAGGAAAAAACTTCAGAGGTGGGGTAGGTTTTTCTGTTGCAAAGGAAATTCACATGTACAAACATCTAATTGTACTTTACCAGGAGTTCTTGAAGATGACGTATTTGATAAAAATTTATGTTTTGATACAGCTAAAAATAGTTTTAAAAAACCTCAAAACCAATTAAAAAGGGCATTCCCAACCCTGGTGATCCTCCACTTCTTTAATTAGGAGAGATTATAGCTATAGGAGCACGTTTATTCATGAAAAAATATCTAATTACAGATAAACTCTCTTGACGAAAGTTTGACTCAGAGACATAGAACCCAGAGGTACTTTCTCCCTTAACCCTTTGCTTACAGAGGTCAACAGTCAAAGATGGGTTTAATCCTGTTTCCCTTGGCACCTAAATGTGGACACGTGTGATTAAAATACATACACCAAAGATGGATAACTCTAAAAGACAAAAAGATGTTCATTTAAGGCAAGCGCAATCTTCTTTCCAGCTGAAAAAGCACAGGCTTTATTATAATTAGTAAAGGAAAAATTGTGGAGGTCCAAAAATGTGAGCCCATTTCCACCTTGTGTGACGGTCAGAAAGTTAGAGGACACTCAATATTGCTAATAGAGGAGAAAATGAAAGGGTGAAGGGGAGAAGGGAGAAGAGTAGAGAGAGGCAGATAGAAAAAGAAACAGAGAGAGGGGAGAAGGGAGAAGTTGAGGGAAGGGAGTGAGGCAAAAGAAGAGAGAGATAGAAAAGGAAGGACCTCAGACTAGAAGCAGGAAGATCCACCTGCCTCTGCTGTGGAGGTGGGGAGAGAGTGGGCGAGGTTTGTCTCTTATAGGGACAGAACAGACCATTACAAGGACGACACTAAAATCTGCGAAACAAACCTAACACTAATCCCATATTGTTTCTGCTCATATCTCCATAAATTGCCTTTCCCACCTAGAAATGCCAAAGTTTCTTTACCTTAAGTATAAATGACATTGAAGCCTAAATTCAAAACATCCCTTTGTCTCATTTACTTCAGAATATTTCATGTGTTAGATTTATGATTTAATTCCAAGCCAAACTCTTATCTGATTCATCTGTCTCCTGGGTAGAGCCTATCAGAGAGAACCTAGTAGTGAAAAAGATATTTTTCAATTCATGTTCTTTTCCTATACAACAGTGATAGTGATACAAGAAGATGCCATCTGCACATCCCCTAAAGCCCAGATGAAAGGCTACAGTAGAGACTCTTGGTACCCTGTGCCAATACAAAGGTTTCCTGGGTCCAAGTAGGTTACAGAAGAGAGGGGAAGAGGCCTTAAAATCATATGTGCTGAAGGTCTTTCAAATGTTGGGAACCCCGTAGATAACTCATTTCCTCGTTGTAATTTGAATCATATTAATCAAGTCAGGGGAAGAAAAGGGAGACAACATAGATGAAATTTTCCTTTTAATATCACCATTAATAATACAAATAAACTGAGTGCTTATTATCAATGGCTGGATCAGGAGACTGTAGTGAGGTCACCTTTTGGACAGTTATGTAGTCACCTCACATGAGTGTGTGGCAATCATACCAAAAACAGAACTGACTGCTTTCCATTAAGTCCGGCTTGTAGGCTGTAGAACCTGTAGCCTCTCTCCAGGTATGTTTCCATCCAATTGTTGGCCCCACATGAGAAGAACTGAGCAAATAATAACTTTTCTGCTTTTCTACTATGACTCTTCCTGGCATAGAGCACCTGGAACTCAAAACACATGAAAGGCCTTTCAGATTTGTTCTCACCATACTTGATGGCAGTTCCTTGGCTTTCCTTCCCAAAGCATTTTCTGAGAAAAAAAAACTCATGATTAAAAATGCGGTGGTGGAACACGCCTTTAATCCCAGCACTCGGGAGGCATAGGTAGGCAGATCTCTGTGAGTTTGAGACCAGCCTGGTCTACAAGAGGTAGTTCCAGGACAGGCTCTAAAAAGCTACAGAGACACTCTATCTCTAAAAACCAAAATAAAATAAAAATAAAAATAAATAAATAATAAATAAATAAGTAAATTAAAAATGCGGATCTCCTAAGCTCAAAAGTATTTTTCATGAGGATATAGAGGCCTTTCTTTCGAATGCAATCACCAGGAAGGATAGGCGCTCCGTATCACAGTCCTGTGGGAAGGTAGATTTCTGACCCCAATATTGGCTAGCCAGCGGATACAGCTGCCTGATGATATTTACACTGTCCAATACTTCGCACTCTTAATTCCCTACCTTTGATTAAGTCCTTGCTCAGTCTTACTATACTACTCTCCTCTCCCCTTTACCAGGTCTGGTCACTGCTGAATCTATTGAACTTAGGTAGAGTTCCTGTTGGACCCCTTTTCCTATTCGATGTTACCTTACTGATCGCAGTCTGTCCCTGCTGCTTCCTCAGGTGTCTGGCTTTGTTTATCATTCTCAGGGCCAGTTGCTAAGGAACTGAAATCCTCATCATGGTGGCTGTTGAAGGTGCTGGGATTACACTCATGAGAAATCATTAGCAAAGGCATTCTCTGTGTTTCTGAACAAAACAATCCTGCACACTGCCACAAATAAAAGTTTAAGGAAACTTTGCTGGGAAGCAATTCAGATTTATGAATTTCACATTAAATCAGCTAAGTACATCTGTTATGCTCATCATAATGGCAGCTTTGGGGTAATGATTTCTTAGAATCACAAATGATGTGCAAATTCTCAGCGATTTAAGCATTTGGAGGGGCATGCATACGGCCCGGGTGATTGCCTATTATCCTCAAACACCCGAGTTGTACCATGGCCTTTGTTCTTTCATTTCAAGCCTCAGAAACTAGAAGCAGAATCTCATGTGGGGGCAAAGATTTAACCCTATAAGGCATGTCTCGGCATGTGTTAGATAGCATCTCATTGTGTTTAATCCACTACTTTGCAATGTATCTCAAAAATAACTAAAAGTACTTCTCAAAGAATGAAGCAGGCAGAGTATGTGTTCAGCTTCCAGATTTGTGTCCCACACACAGCAGCAGGCCTGCTATTAGAAGTGACTATGTGACTACAACTCTCATTTCTCTTTTAACCTTCACCATGAACTTTTCATGCCCTTCATAACCCGATTTGGATGTGAGCCAGCCTTCGAAGTATGACATTGTATTCCTGCCATATTTCTGATACAAAGTAAAGAACCAAAGTAGTTTATGGGACAAACAATCAAAAGCCCTATCACTGTCAGAAGTCAGTTATTACAAAAGACTAGAATCATCTTTCTAATTTAGTATTTGACACAAATACACACACACACGCACGCACATGCACACACATTCACACAGCTGCAAGATGAATTCAGCAAGAATTGCTACAGTGGTAATCAACTCCACAGTTCTGATGACAGGTTCCTTAGTGCCCTCTGTACCTCAAATTCTAACGTGAACAATAAAAACAACGTGAAGACATGCAGCTTACATTTTGCAGCTGGACATGGCTCTTCATCAGGCTCTCGGACTTTGACAATGTACTGGATGTCTTGAGGCTGTAGTTTTTCCCGTGCTGTGATTCTTTCAGTTGCTCTTGGATTTGTTTAGCCTGTTTCCTGCAGATATGAATATATGGGTAAATATTTGCATACATATATATTGTTAATTTTTTATAGTTCTTTTCACAGTATCCATATTTGTCGCATGTTAATGCTAGATAGGCATTTTTGTCACATGTTAATGCTAGATAGGTAATATTAGCCACAGAGACAGTTCTTAATTCCTTTCAACCACATAGAGAAATACCTCTGACTGGGGATAGTTTGGGATTACTCATCGTAGATGGGTTCACAAACTCTAAAAAGAGAGACGTGATTCCAATGTGTTGTGCTAACCTGAAACTCCATGGATATAAGCAAGCCCTAACATGAAGTGTTCATGTATAAAATGATAGAGATTTCACAGAGAAATACCCAAAGTTAAAATCTGAAGCTAGGATTTGGCTAACCTGTTGGCAAACATATATTTGTAGCTTATTCATATGTTAATGAGTATATTTTATTTTTACTTTGTTTGGAGAGTTTAAGTTATCAGGAAGTCAAGAAATAAAATAGCTAACTTTTTTTTAGATGCTCCTGAAGGTCAAATCTGGACTCTCATGTAGACGAGGCAAATCGTCTACCACTGAAGAGTATATCCGTTCTCCAACAGCCTTAACCATTAACGAGCTACTGCTTACACAGTAATTTGCAACATGTTTTTTAAAGTCCATTACACTCAATTTTAAAATTCATTTCCACAATAAGCTTTGCAATGAGGCAATATTCTAAACCCATTTAATAGAAGAGAATGCCAAGAAATGCACAAAGAAACGAAATAATTTGCTAAAGGTTATTTAGATGAGAAGGGTTTCAAACCATTCAACAGTGCTGCAACCTCTGCTCAGAATCAAAGCTCAGAGCAGCCAAGCCACTTGTATATGGTCTTTCAGCTTCTAAAGGGGACGCTGAGATTGTTCTTGGATTGTGGACTCCCAAGAAATGTGCCCTTGTCTGCATACATTGGTTATTGTTTAAAACATTCAACATCTATACCAGAAGGGTGGACCAAACACTCTCTGGATAGTTTCCTTTTCCCAGGGTTCCACAATCCTAGACTCAAAACATAACTGCACGATCATTTTCTAAAGTTTGCTTCTCCTGTTCTGAGCCCAGGAGAGATCCCCCGATAAAATGCCTCTCACATAGCAAGCTCACCAGGCAACCAGCTCTCCGGACATGGGCTCTGCTATCAGAGAGACTGACACATGAGACCACAACCTCCAGTTGCCGTCCACCAGTTTCAGTTTTCTCACAATTATAGTGATTATGAATTCAACCTAAGTAATTTCCTTCAACCCATTTCCTTTACTTAGGTTGAATTCATAAGCACTGTCTCCCAGGGATACCATGACAGCTACAGGCACAGTGTTCCTCTTTTTCTTCCTGTTAGTCAGCACACTCAGTGCTGTGGAAAGACGCTGCAGAATTGAGGACATTGCCACAAAGATGAAAGATTGTATTAATTGCCTCTCTCACACAACACCGGCATACTTTTTTAAAGGATCTGAAGGTAATGAGCATCTTTGAATTTAAACCCCGGTGTTAAGTAGCTGTCTGTTTAAACATTTCTTTAATCTCTCCAATTATTTGTGTGTGGAGTGGGGGGTGGACTTTTTGGTCTAAACCTCTCAATTGCTTTAATGCAGTTAAAATAATCTATCTATTTCTTAAGAAGGAATTTATAGCCTATTTATAAAAATAATTCATCTCATGAACATATAAGAAGCAAACAGCAGCCACAGAAACAGGGATTCATGTGAGAAGTAAACAGGAAATTGTACGGGAGGGGTGCTAGTCAAAGAATCAGCCCCAAGCAGTGAAAGGCTTAACACAAAGCCAACAGTTACATCTATGAAATAAGACAGAAACACTGTCTTTTCTGAAATCTCCTAATTCAGAAACTGGAAAGTATAAGGTTTTAAAGAAATAATATTCATAGAATGTCTGGGTGTGTTTCTTGAAACCTTTTATAGTTGACCTTCTACACCGTGTTCATGCCAGCCTGACTTAGCAATACTTCAGGGTAAATGGCCTTTTTTTCCATTTGGAATCTGCCTTTGGATCTTTGTTGCCCCAATTCTTTCTTGGCCCTATTCTTTCACAGGTAAAAGGAGTTTGCTTGCTTGTTTTTTTTTCTCCCTTTAGGAAATGGGAAGAGAGGAAATGATTAATATCTGACTGCTTTGCTGTCCTCTCGGAGAACAACCACTCTCTACAAAGTCTGTATATGCACTGTGGGATGCTACCAGTTCAACAACGTCAGGACCAAACTTATCAGGCTACTGAGCTTTAGTTATCTCTGGTGCAATGCCGCAGAAAGGATGTGTGTAGTAGAGTCGTGGATGCCACGCAGCCTGAGTTTCTGTGGAATCAGACCTTGGGATAGGAAGAGTGTTCTGAAATTATATTGGGTGTGTGTGGTGTCAGCACCTTTGAAAGTAGAGAAATGGGTACTGTGGAGTGGCAGAGGCTGGAATCTGGTGCAGTGAGATCTTTGCTCCCCTTTTCCAGAGACCTACAGTGACCTGCTGTTGTAGGTAGATTATTCAGTGCAGGTTGCCTGAGCGCAATTTCCTGTATTGTATGCTGGCAATATGAGGACAAAGACCTCCACTGCTGATGAAGACAACCGCAGCACATCAGAGCATCCGTGTGAGGCCAGAATCTTTTACTCAGACCACAGCACATGGGGAGAATCAGGTTGCTATAGTGTGCGTACATTTTACTGACAAAACCAATTCCCAGGTTCCTCCACTATTTCCCCAATTTTTATAACTCTTCTCTACCCATAAAAATTTCCTCTCCTTTCCATGATTATGGTTTTAGGGTTGAGCCATGTGCTTGATTTTCATCTAACTACAGACTGGTGCCACCAACCTCGTCCTTCTTTCCTGGGTAGGTTCAAAGTAAAGGGCAACTCCTTTAAGATTTCAGCTTCTAACTAAACCTGGTGAGCAAAAGGTAAAGACTTCAGTTAATCAATCACATCAGCTATAAATGGGGCCACGTGGGCTACTGGAAATGATAATTCCTTTCAGCTATCTTTCGGCACTGCTGAACATTCAGTTATCTCCCTCGGAATATTCTCTGAGTGGAAGATGTCTCCATTTCTGCCACCTCATGCTATCCACCTCAATTATTGTTTTGGTCACAATGTTACTTTCTATGTGAGGTTGCCTGTTGGAACATCCTCCATGAATAAAGCTGTGGAAAGAGTATTTGGAAAGCTTGGAGAAAACTCCAAAAAAAAAACAAGACAAAAGTCTTGTGACTGGTGTTCCTCTATAACGTGGATTGTTCTAGGGATGTGCTTTTGTGTCCCTCCAAGGTGTAGTAAATAGGAGTGGGTTTACTTCAGATTTCCCATCATCGATTATTATTTAAGCGCTGGGTATATGCAGCTTAAAGTCATGCGACCTTTGCTTATTTGGTCTTGCTTACTCCACAAAATACCCCCAAAGTATAAATTGTCTGAAGCCCGGAATGGAGTTGGCTATGGCACGAGATTTTAGTCCACTTCAATAGGCTCCACTCTCTCAGGTTTATGCCACCAATTAGAGCAGGAACAGTTGCTGAGTTACTGGTTGATGAGGTTGCACAGTGCCAAGTGTACAAGAACAGGGAGAAAAGACCAGAGAAGCAACATCTGCATGGGGATGGGAAGTAGAAAATAAATGACTGTGAGCATGGAGCTTTTGACTAAGTAACTGCTCTCTCTATGCAGAAGGCTATATCCAGTCTATCAAACATGTAACTCAAGTGAACTCATTTGGAGAGCAGTGAAAAGTGCCTTAGCATCCAGTTAGACCTGGAGCTTCCAAAGCTGACAACAAATGCATGCATACATGCATACATACATACATATATGTTTGATACATCTGAACTATATATACTATATGTCCATATTTTGTGTACTAAAATTAATATCAAGCTGATTCTTTTATCTCTAATATTAGGGAAAAGGAATGCAGAATCCATGAATCCACAAGAAAAACATGCGTGTTCTAAGAGTGAACCTTCAGTTTTGATAGGAGGGAGACTGCATCTGAAATAGAATATATACTATTCATACCTGGGATGATTTTTGTTGAGAAATATGATTCCAGTCGGAAACGTCTTTCATTTTTATTATTTATATATTTATATACACTCATTTATTTATCTTTTTTTCTATTATCCAACAATTTTTTACTTTAATATTCATACTGTAATACATTTTAATATATTCTTTTTACTTTAGTTAATATTCATATCTGTAATACATTTTGATCAAACCCACCCCATACCTCTCTGAAGCGTCCTCCTCTATCCTCTTCCCACCATGTTTTGCTTCCAAGTTCATGTCTCTTTTAACCTTCCAAGACAACTTAGTGCTTCCTGTATGTGCATGGGTGTAGGACCTTTGACAGGAGCAGGAACAGAGAGAACCTCTCAGGAACTGCATTCGTGAAAACTGACTCTTCTTCCCCCAGAATCCATGATTTGCCAATAGCTCCTCAGCTAAGGCAGGTAGGGGCAGAGCATCTCAGTGTGTCATCCATCATCTGGGTCTTCTAAGTCTCCAGTGAGGAATCTGGTATTTAACAGTGTTACCACGAAACACGCTGACTCCTCATTGTGCCCCCAGCAACAGATATTGGTCTCAGAGCCCCCTTGCTGTCTAGGGAGAAGGACTGATGGCCCTGATCGCACAAATCCTCTACTTGCTTGTTTTCATTGTTAGGATGACTATAATCAATCTTTTGCTTAAATGTTCTACAACTCTACTATGTACTCTAGGAATAAGTGATTAGCATTGTCTTCACAGCGATTTAGTTAATGTCCTGTAAATATAATATTACTACCTAATTTCTTTCTCGTACATAGCTCCTAAAAGCCGACACTCCTAATGTCGAGCTGGGTGTGGCTACCCTTTGTGGACTTGAGTGCTGCTCTAAATTTGGCAGCCATCTAGCCTCCAAGTTCTAGAGTGGGAAGCAATGAATATTAACAACCCAAACCTCTCTGAAGTGTTCTTGATTTGAATACTAAGCAATGTCCTTCACAGCGTCATCTCATTTAGCTTTTGCCCAAGTTCTATAAGGGATTTTTTAATTCATATTTTGCCAAAAAAAGAAAGCAGGAAGAAATATTCCTAGCAACATGAATTGATGTCAAATTGGAGATCCAAATGAATCTGTGGCTAGTATAATATTTTAACCAGTGCCCTCACCTGACCTCACTGGGGCTCCACCAGAGCAGGGAAACTCCCAACTATGGGCAGCTTTGCCATCAGTTAGAAGACTATATAAGCCAATTAAGCACTATAGTTTATAGCATACATTTAAATGAGAAGTCCTGGGTGTCATAGCACCATATTTGTAATTTTTGTACTTTGTTCCTTTCACAATTTAATATTTTAAAATAAATTCCCATATTATCTAGTACATGTTCTCTAAGGCCTATGTGTTGCCTTAGTCCCTATCTTGTCTCAGAGCAAATGATGGTGACTTTCAAATGAAGACCTATTAGAAAATAATTCTCTGGTTATTGAAGGTATTCCCTTGAAGGGGAGCGTGAGATGGGACACAACCCCTTCTTTTTTTTTTCTTCTTCACATTCTGTCAGGGGGCAGAAGGCCCTCCTCTGTTACACACTGCAGCCATGATGTCCTGCCACACCCTGTCACAAAAAGCAATGAGACCGACCAATTCTGGATGAAAACAAACAAAACTGAGCCCAAAGAAGGCTTTGCAACTTCAACCTCTCACCTCTTGCTAGTGCAACAGAAGTTGACTAATACATCACTTAAAAAATGCAATGAAAGCATAACTTGAAAGTTGCAAGGACAGAAAGTTAACCACTAAAATCTCAGTGTGACTGGCACACATTTGGATATCATCTTTGTCACACACGACAATAGTTATAGAGATGTGGCAGAAAATGTCATATGGTGTGCTGGATAAGAGCCTGAGTAAGGAAAAAAAAAGAGATATTATGTCAAAAACTAAGGAAGGCTGAAAAGTATGGACTTTAGTTACACAGTACAATTATTGGACATTATTGTGACAAGGATACCATGCTAAAATAAGGTTTAATAGGTATAGAGTGCATAGGAATTCTCTGTACTATTATTATAGTAGTTCTGAAATTCTAAAAGCATTTTTAAAAGTTTGTTTAAATAATAGTCACTAATCCTGTAGTCATGTCTCAATAGTCTTTATTTAAAGTCATAATTGTAGCTCTTTTTAAAAATTGACATGTATGACTTACAGAGAGGGGATATAAACTGTATCTGGAAAGTAGTCCAGTTTTGGAAGAGAAAATGGACAGAATAACAGTGGTCCAAAGAAAACAACTGCACATTGACTGAGATTTTAGACAGACTGCAGGCATGGAACTGAAGCTAATGTCTTAAGACTCAAGAACCCAATAGACTAACACTGACCTCCAACTTCTTTCTCAAGTACAAAGGACATCATTTCCCTAAATAATTTCATCTATGTTCATTTATAAAAATATAGACTTATGAACATATTATTATGTATATAATATATCTTTAACTATTTTTTCAATTATAAGTCCCTTCATCTGTAGATAGTTTCTTGGCAAGTGAAATTCAGAGCATATTCTAGTTCTATATCCCAAACTGTGATCAATGCACATTTTTTGGTGTTCTCTCATTAAATGTGACTTAAATTTTATGAGTACAAGGCAAAATCTCTTTGAAAGTAAACGGATACTTTTGTGGGTTTTTTTCCTTTTTTTTTCTGGGAAAAGACTTTTCTTATTGTCAATGGTTGATTGCATTTAGGTTCATAGCAGGCAATCCCCTGACTAGTTCCTACTGAGAAGAGTTAGCCCTTTCATGGAAGCTACTGAGCCTTTATGAAGACATGTGATCAAGTCGTGCAATCACTGTGTATCTGAAACCTCCCAAAATGTGTATTTGAGAATGCCCTCCCCCCACATGACTGCCTACGTTTACTGTGGTCCATAGAATACTCTAATTCTCTGTAGATCACTGCTGAACCAATGTGCAAAACCCCCCTCTGCTTGGAGCTGAAATTGAGACTATAAAAGAGCTTTCTTTCGGATGTAACCTTTAATCGCCAGAGAAATGGTCTTACTTGCTTTTGAAGTAGAACGCTGCACAGAACATGCCCACGATGACAATTCCAAAGACGATACATGAAATTGACAGCACCTGCCTTTGATAAACGTCTTCACTCTCTGTGAATTTGAAAAACAGAATTAGAATGGATGCTAGTGGAGTTCACAGGCAGCAATCTCTATCCTCGTACTTCTGAGCTGGTAGGGGTCTTTCAATGCCAGCTTTCTTTTTGTTCCTGTTGTGAATAGGAGAAAAACATGAGGAATTTATTACGATTCAGTTTCTTTATAGAGATCTATACAGTAACCTGCTACTGCTTTTAATTATTGCCTTTTGGTATTTGTACAGTCAAATAAGCACTCTTGCTCAAACATATAACAACTTGATAAATATTATAAGTGAATTTTATAACTTCTATACATTGTAGAAACATAGGTTCTGGAAAGTGTGGTGGACCCTAATTAATGAACTAGAAGGTGAGAGTCTCCGTACTTTCTGGTGCCAGCAACAACTGGGTTTTCATTCTGTGGCGCTCAGATCTCTGTGCTGTCTGATTTTTGTTTGGTCCTTGGTGATCTACCCATTATTCCTCTTTCGACTACTCTGGTATTTTCATCACTTTATGAAAGAGATTTTCAGTATTTATTTAAATATCATGTTCACCACATCGGTAGCTATTTTAGTGCCCATGTTCTGACATAGTAGACAGCAGCCTCTGTACCAACGTGGTACCTTATCTCTTGCCATTACAAAACGTGCCCACTCGGCTACTTCACTCTTCAGTTGCTACAATTTACACTCAAATCCTTTTCTAAAACAGGCTTAGTAAAACAATTCTTCCATCTTATTAAGAGCTTTGTATGGCTTCTAGAACTCTGTCTGCAAATTCCCATCCTTTTGTTTTTATTTCTCTCTTTAAACACAGGAACAGCATAGAACATGGCGGTAATCAGGAACTCATTTGCAAACGTTCTCTTCAGCTGCTCCCATGTACTTACCCAGTCATCTATTTGGCAACATTGCCACACAAAAATTCAAGAAACTTATAACCATCACAACGGCACCTTTATACTACACCAAGAAGAGTGTGCTACCGGGCAAATGTTTTATAAGAGATGAAAGCTGAAAATTGGATGTCTTAGGCGGGCATGAAGTCCCCAACAATGTCCTCAGCTCACTAGCACCCATGACCAGGTTCATTCATCTACTTCAACTATACTCAAGCACCTGACCCCTCCAAACTTCCCTTATTCTCAGATATTTTGGTTCCTATGAAAAATGAGGCCTGTGTAGAGAAATTATTCCAACATTATAGAGTAAAACACACACACAAACACAAAAAAATTAGCACAATCTTTCTCACTCATTCACTCCCTTTCTCTATTTCTTTTCAACTTCAGTTCCTCCCTCCCTCTTGACTAGTTTAGCTAGTGGCTCCTCAAACTACAGTGTGCAATTCAGTCACCTTGAAAGCTATGAGAGTACACGCCACCTTCACTTGTTCCTGGGGAGTTACGGGATAGCACACCTCAGTGTGTACAGACTTTTGCTTTTGGAAAAGTCCTCAGGGTGACTGTGATGCTTTTGGATTAGGAAACCCTTGAGAAAGAATTGAATGGAGTGTGTTCAGCATGTGACTCACTGACTCTTCCACATCTGGTAAGATGTGTTTACTTGTATTTAATGTTGATCATTAAAATATAGATAGATAGATAGATAGATAGATAGATAGATAGATAGATAGATAGATAGATAAGCTTAGGAAAGCCCACCAACTTTTAATGAATTTTCTCCCAAAGTAGACATAACAGAAGGAAATTTTTCATCTAACAAAGAACAGCTTTAGTGTGTACACATATGTGTAATAGATAAATATATAACATCATGAAAATTTGAACACTTTGACCTTAAATGAATGATAATGCCTACTTGCACTACTTCTACTGGACACTGTCCTATAGTCAATGTTCTAAGGGAAAAATAGAAACAAACCCATTCCATTTGAAGCAATGGATAAAAAAAAATATCTTTTCAGATATTGTGGTCACCTGTTGGAATCTACAAAAGGAGTTAGGTTCATTGGTAGGTGAACTTAGCATGTTTATAGTACATAGGGATGAAAGGAAAAAAATTCTTGTACATGTACATAGTAGAAACAAAGTAAGAGGAACACTGTCTTGGAAAATAATAGGAATAGAAACACTTGACATGAGACCTGAACATAAAATATAAGCCAATTTCTCATGACTTAAAATAAACACCCAAAGATTGAGATGGCAATTTTGAATAAATTCTATTCTGATAATAAATTCTCAGAAAATTTAAGAATGATAAAGAAGTATCCATGGGACATAAAAGAATCTCAAATAAACTATGGTGAGAAGGTGGGTTAATAAGAAAATAACTGAAGTCAATGCTTAGTATGCCATTACAAGGACATAGAGCATAGATCTTTCTTGACTATTCATAGATTTTTAATAGATATGACACACCATTTTAAAAACATCTTCACAGAGTTAAGAATATACCAACTTTATGAGGGAAGTATTTCATTCTTAGGCATTTAACCAGCTTTAATAAAAAAAACTGATTTTCTTTTGTATGCGAGTTTACAAAATATTTCTATTACTAATCCTCATTAAAAATTTTCCAAACACCCATACATAGGTCAGTGAAATAATTGTGGTATATCCGTTCAATGGAACATTACTCAACAATAAGAGAAACTAATCAATGAAATAATCAATAATGTAGATGAATCTGAATTCACTCAAAGTGAGATGTCACACACAGATCCATGCTATCTATATCAAACCACACAAAACTGAAGCAATTGGAAGTATGTGACAGATAGGTGAAATGATTATCTTCTGTCTGTGGAAGCGAAGGGTTAAAGATTAGAGAGCAACGTTAGGAATTTTTAAGTTATAGACACATTATCTTAATTTCAGTATTCATTATCTTAATTTCAATGATCATATCATTGGTAGATAATTATTGCTTGTTGCACCATATTAAATATTTTAGGCAAGGTTCATTTCATCCCAGTTATAGCAGTAAAAAAATTAATTCTGGGGAATAAATTAAAATAGGAAATATATTGAGACTATAAAGAATTTCAGAATATAAAATGAAACCCGGGCTCCTTTGAGTTCCTTTTAAAATTATGCTCCCACAAACCCTTCTCCACACAGCAATCTATATAAATTTATATTATATAAATTCAGTCATACATACGCATGTACATTATGTTTATATACATGCATATACCCATTATTATACATGTTTCACTATTAAGCAAGCTAATGGCTCCTATGTTAGAGTAACAACAATATCACAAGGTTTGAATATGAAAAGTGCTTAATGTGACATTTATTTCTTCCTAGAATGTCTGATGTTTTACTCTGCTGCCTCTTGATGCCTGCTGTGCCCTGTCCCTCCCTGCCTGCCTGACTCCCTCTCAATTTCTCTCTCTGTGTCTCTCTGTAGTATATTCTTCTGTCTTTTAATGTCTTTTTCTTCCTAAATTGAAAAAATTGAATATACCTATCTAAATATCTTCCATTATGCTATAAGCCTCACTGGCTAATGATACCGGATTTTTATTTTTGTTCATTGTCTGGGTATTGTTTCTCCAGCTCCTCCAATGGCCCTTCTCAGCAGCCTAAATGAGTAGATGAACAAGCATTTCTGTCTATGCAAATGGCCTGATTTAAATTGTATTGGCTCTTGCCTTAACATGCACTTAGGTGCAGCACCTCTGTTCATCAAAGTAACTTTTCCCAAGCTCTGAAGACTGGCTCAGTTCTGAGGTGAGCACAACCCACCCTTCCTTTGATGCTAGGCTCCTCCCATAGCTGGGGTTTTGTCATCCACCTGACCTGATTCTGTATTCCCAAAGTTCTCTTCACAGACCACCCAATAGCACTGATGTGCTGCTCAGTTCAGTTGTTTGGCCTGATTGCTTGGAGCTGATGGCAATTCATGGCCAGAATGCAGGCTGTGGGTTGGCTGAAGGACACAGAACTCCTCGCACCAGGATTTTCTGAGAGTGTCTCAAAATGCCCCTAAATGTTGCCAGGAGCCTGTGAAATGAGCCCCTGTTGTGTGATGTTTCTCTCTCAGCAATGCTAACTGCAGCACCAAACCCATCACACCTGTCTCAAAACTGGCATGGAAAAAGGCTGTTTTACTTCTTTCTCTGAGACCATCTGCCATGGATTCCCTTTAAATTTGATTGCCTACTTTTGAGTCCTTTATCCTGTGAACGTGTATCTCAAAGCAATGCTTCATAAGCATCCCTCCTTCCTAGGCTTCATTTACATCTTAATTGCTGGTTTTGGCTAAAATATTGAAAAATGTAAAGTCAACTTAAGAAAAACTTTAGGTTTTTCTGTTTTCCCAGGAAATGGGGAGGGACAGTTATGTGGATTAACAGGCTGGAGTGAACACTTTAAATCTTTAAATGATCAAAGTAAACGGATGCAGAACGTGTCATGGAGACCTTATTAGGGTCATATTGCCATCTTAAAAATTGTCATGCTTTCTACCCCACATTTGTAAGCTGATCTTAGAAACAATTGATTCCAAAGCTTTCCATCTGTCTAGATTGTACTAAATGATTACAGAAGCACGTGAAAATTTCATAAGGCAGCTAATCCCATCCTGCCACTACCAATAACAATTTTGAATATGAAGGATAATGATACCCATTAAAACAAAATCCAGTAAAAAGAAGGCTGTTCCCACTTACACGAGTGATTTCCATGTATAATCTGCCTGTTACATTTCCGATATTTGAATATAGTCAAAAGTCATCTAGGAATTGCAACGAAACCAATTCCGAGTTTAAATCAAGAGTGAAATTAAAAGAGTAAAAGCTTAAAATGAATTTGAGACCCAGCTGTGGTCAAGAGTGATGATGCTCTTGGTGCCTTTGATTCATAGGCAGCTACACTACACAGAACTCAGACCCAGCCAGCAAGGGACTGCTCCACGCAATTTGGGATTTCAGGTTGGTTCTGCCACTAATGACCTATAAAGCCTCCTTCATCAGAAAACAGTGCTTTTCACCTGTTTGTATTATTGGAATGATGCCAGACTTTTCTAAGATATTAGT